CTCTGAAACAGCCCAACACGCCTGCCGATGCATGTAGCCTCTGAAACAGCCCAACACGCCTGGCGATGCATGTAGCCTCTGAAACAGCCCAACACACCTGCCGATGCATGTAGTGGAAAACATGATAAGCATGTCACATGACTATGAAAACCCAGAGAAACATGACAGATGATGGCGGGTCTCTGTGACACCCGTGGAATACCCATAATTTGGATATTTGTGATATTGGAATAACTTACAGGGCTACAGAGGTTGATTACTCTTCTCTCTGGCTACACACTGACTGTTCCTAAACATATGTTAGCTGAGAACACTTAGCACAAGAAAGCAGAAGATACAGTAAAACAAACAACACACAAGAAGTATGGAAATGTTGCTCTGTCCTCTATCAAGTTGAACCTCTGGAGTCTGAAGCTTCTCAGCCGTTTTCGAGGTAGTCTGACATGCCTTGACATTTTAAAATATTTTTTAGATATAAATACAGTATTTTATATCTAAAAAACATTTATCCTGAAGTGCTACAAATGCTTTTATCCAGCACAAACTCAGCACCAATAACCTGAGACCACTTAGAATGTTATTATTCTATTTTTTGTTAAAATCAACTTTAAACATATACTTTTCAAAAACCTATTTTCAGAGGTGCTGAGAAATAAAAAAAATAAATCACATTATAAACATTTCTAGCCAAGACTTTTGAGCTCTGAAGCTTATAGACACAGGGGTTGGCTACACATGAGTGAATGAGACATTGTGAAACTGTATGTGGTTTGATTCGCAAAGTAAATGTATATAAGGTTAGATACAAGTCAAAAGCAAAACTCTCTAAACCTTTTCCCGCCCAAGAAACCTTCATATTGAAGAATTCATATTGAACACTTCACAGAAAAGGTTGCATAGTTAATCACATGTATCATGTAAAAAATAAAGCGAACACACAATGACTAAAGCGAAACAACCACCAAACTTTTTGTAAGGTGTATGAAAATCTTTACTCCACTGACATCAAACAGCTTTTCTAAGGAACATTGTGGACACATGAATGCTTTTAGCGAGAACCGCTGTGCGTTATTGTGTCATAGACCTGCCGCTGACCATGCTGCTATGGCGACAGGTGAAGCGTGGAGCAAGCACATGTGTGGCATTAAAATACATCCCCGGGACATTCAGCTCAGCTGTGCACCAGGTTTCCTGCAGAGGGCGCCACTTATCCACTAAATTTTTAAACCCACCGAACATTACGGTTGTCCCCTTACTCTACTAAATCGCCCCCAAAAAAGGGCAGCTGCATGTCCAGTATGCGGCAGTTCAAACCCATAACAGTCCAAGTCAGAATAACCTGCCGATTCAGTGCTGCGTCGGCGATTGCTAATGGTCACATGGTGAAGCATACAGCCTGACAGCAAGCACTGGCATAACGAGAGACCACATTTCAGAACATTATTCAGGAATTAGCCGCTTATTTTGATAGACTACACAATGAAAGAGTGTAAGGGCGACGGGGGTCGCTGCCTGCTGCTGCACACGCGGTGAGACAGAGGAGGCCGCATCAGCGCCCGGCGATCCGCTTTAAGGTGGGAGGGCGACGGAGTGCGTCCGAGAGCGCCATCAAAGGCAGCTGCACAAAGCAGCAGAATACTCCAGTGGTGACGCATTTGCACAATAATGCGACCGAACGAGGCCCCCCCGGTGTGCTGCACGCTCGCCACGTGCTGCGGCGTGTGGATCCCTCATCCGTGCCCACCCACTCTTTCATGTGTGGGTACAGCCATAATTAATGCCCCCTGCATCAATGCCCTGCCAGCCGCCCCCTGCTCTGTGTTTATTCAAAAAGCAAATGGGGTTTCGATCAGCAAAACTCAACTCTCAGTTCCTACAGATTGTCTGATATTTTACCAGAAAATGCAGTTCTAGTCCCGTTTTCACACGTGCAGAACACAAGAGACACATATTCAGGGGCACTGTGTTTCTCAGCAGCTTCTGATGCTGTGTCTGTGATCAGGTGGTCGCTGGGTCGAATCCCAGGGTCTACAGAACAATGTCACCATTAGGTCCCTGAGCAAAGCCCTTAAACCCCCCATTGGCTCCAGGGACTATCTGACCCTGCATTCACAAAAACTGTGTGTCGCTTTGGACAAAAGCATCTGCTAAATGAAAAATAAAATGTAAGTATCAGTCAGCTGAGGACATCTTATTCACAGCAAAAAAGTGACGACAATGTCTGAGCTCTAACAGCCATATGATAAATGCACAATTTTAACGACAAATGATGGTGACAGACTGACCCAGCGACTGAAATAAACACTGACACAGCCAGCACAGTGTCTCAGTCTCAGCGATAATGAACCCTCTCTCTCAGAAAGGCTAACTGAGGTAACTCCCGCTAACAGAATAATCGCCATTCATTCACTCCCCACCAGAAACCATTAGGGTATCCATCTTGGGATGAAGCAATTATCAAAGCCAAAGTTCAGCTAATTTGTATTTTATGATATTCCCCTTCTGCCAAAAAATGTAATTCTCAGCCATATTCGGAGATGTTTGGATTTTACCTTAAGCGCGAAACTTTCAAATACTCCACAAACACTCTCCATAAACTTTTCCCGTCCTTAAGAAGAATTGCCCCATCCATTGTGAAAGGTCATACTTTTTCCCTTGAGGCAAATCTCATCTCCCAGAAAGACACAGTGGTACCATTTCGCGCAGAGTGGGCTGCTTTGGTACATTCTATTATTCCGACTGGCCTACAGGTCAATCCCCTTCCTTGCCCCTGTATCTGCAAGTCCCTCTGCATGATGAATCCCTTGTACCTGCATATCCCACAGCGTGATGAATCCCCTGCCCCTGTACCTGCATGTCCCTCCGCATAATGAATCCCCTGCCCCTGTATGTCCTTCTGTGTGAATAATCCCTTGTACCTGTACCTGCATGTCCCTCCGTGTGATGAATCCCCTGCCCCTGTACGTCCCTCCGTGTGATGAATCCCCTGCCCCTGTACGTCCCTCCGTGTGATGAATCCCCTGCCCCTGTACGTCCCTCCGGGTGATGAATCCCTTATACCTGTACCT